ATGCGGTCCAATTTAATTATCTGTGTATGAGTGTGGCTGGGTGGGACATTATATAAATGCATGAAAGGATAAAAACCGCAACTTAATGATGGTCATTACAAGTTCAGGGTAATGGGACTCCAGGTAACCTTTCCTTTCTTTAGTATATTTTAGGCATTGATTTAATTTTTATAATGGGGAAGTATTACTAATATAATAAAAAACCTATTTTTACTCTGAGAAGTAGGGCATCTTCTCACAGTCTAGTGAGGGTAACAGACAAGCCAGCAAAGGACAGAGACTGCATGATATAGTGGCTAACTGCATTATTGCATGTGGTGGCAAAGCTCTGGGCTTGAATCCTAGCCCTTCTTCTTACTAGCTATGAGACCATTGGAGATGTGTTCAACACTCTACGCCTCAGTTTCCTTATCTGTATTGGTCAAAATGATAGTACTACCTTCATAGGGTTATAATGAGAATTATCATTTATAAATAATTTAGATTCATGTCTGGCACATAGTAGTAACTAAACAGGTATTTTTACATGAAATATATAACTATAATAAAGTGTCCTAAGTGCCATGATTCAAATCTCCAAACACACAGAGAAGTGACTGATTGGAGGTGTGGCTGTCAAGAAGGGGGTCAGGGAACCTTCTCAAAGTAGAATAAGCCTGGACCCATGGTGGGTACTCTTGTGTCTATTTTTGTCATTGTTGGTGTTTATTTTTCGAATAGGGTCAAAGACAGCAAGTTGTTCACATTTAAAGAATGAAATCTCACCTATCTGGTTTGGCTCAGTGGATAGAGTGTTGGCCTGTGGACTAAAGGGTCCCAGGTTCGATTCCGGTCAAGGGCACTTGACCCGGTTGCGGGCTTGATCCTTAGTGGACGTGCAGGAGGCAGCCAATCATTGATGTTTCTATCTGTCTCTCTCTCCCTTCCTCTCTGAAATTAATAAAAATACATTTTTAAAAGAATGAAATTTCAATATGTTGGCTGCACCCTTAGGGCTTTGAAGAAGCACCATCGTTCTTTTTCCTTTAATGCATTTTTTGTTTACTTTCTTCATCCTCCTCCTACCTTACAGGTTTCAGTTCCATTTGACATTGTCATCATTCATTGCATAAGGTGATCTAAGATACTGATCAAAGGCACGCAAACTTTTTTGAAAAATCCAGACACCTATGTAACTTCCTAAGTCAGATATTCAAGGCTGGGTCATCATGCTCTCGTAACCATATATCATAAACTAGTCTGTGATGATCATCTCTTAATCACATGCCACTTTTCCTACCCACCACCTAATCTATTCACCAACTTGCTACTCACACTTCCTCCCATTACCTCAATGTTTATTCTCCTTTTGATCAAAAGATCCTCAGGGCACATGATTTTGAATATAGATAAAAAGGTAACTTTCTCTTTGTAAAGAAATGTGTTTGTGAATATGAAATTGTAAAGGGGTAAATTATTGGCTGTAAGTTGGTTGGGAGGATGATGAACAATGAATTGGAGGTAGGAAGAAGAAACTTTCTAATGGAAAAATAAAGACTTGAAATAGTAGTAAGAGAAGCTGACAGAAGAAACTAATTCACTGAGACTTCTATAATATAATGTTCCACAAAAATACAAAATAAATTGTCATGCAGTGCTCATTTGTCTTAAAAAGAAGATTAATAGAAACTGTAAAACTAGATGGACATGTTAATGCAGAAAACCATTCCAGAACCCTAGATGGAGAAAAAATAGAACCCACAGAAGAGAATAAATGTCATGAGTACCAAGATATAAAAATGCCCTGATATCACTGACGGCACAACACTTGAACTTCACAGAATTCAATAACAAAAATAATGCTGTGGCCCGGCTGGCCTGGCTCAGTAGTTGAGTGTCAACCTTTGAACCAGGAGGTCATGGTTCAATTCCTGGTCAGGGCACATGCTGGGGGTGGGGGCTCAATTCCCAGTGTGGGACATGCAGGAGGCAGCCAATCAATGATTCTCTCTCATCACTGATGTTTTTATCTCTATCTCCCTCTCCCGTCCTCTTTGAAATCAATAAAAAATTATATCTTTTTAAAAGTAATGCTGTGACTGTCATCGTGAGTACATGGCCAAAACCAGCTTCCAGAGGCACTCATTTCCCAAACCGCTGGAAATGCTGCCTGGTGACAACTCACAGCTTACTCCTCCCCCAGGAACTGCTCTCAGCTGTAGCATCTTCTTGTCTGAAGCCACAGCTTTTCCTAAGGTGCAGCCCCGGAAGACTTGACAAAGTGACATACACATGACTACAGCCCGGCCGCCATGTGGTTCAGGACAACTCTGAAGGGCCAGCCCAGCTCTAGAGTTGGTAGAACTGGCTGAGGACCATGCTGAAAATGAATTCTAGTTCAACTTTTCTCTGCATCCTTCACTCTTTCACTCTCTAGTCCTATCCTATCATTTTCTATCTGAGAAAACTCAAGTCTCTGAAAGGTGAAGTGATTTGTTCAAGGTGGTGCAGCTGCTAAGTCATGGATCTGAGTAGAATTTTGACTCCTCATCCAATGAAGTGCTCTGTCCACCTAGAACAGTGGTTCTCAACCTGTGGGTCGCGACCCCTTTGACGGTCAAACGACCCTTTCACAGGGGTCACCTAAGACCATCCTGCATATCAGATATTTACATTACGATTCATAACAGTAGCAACATTACAGTTATGAAGTAGCAACGAACTGTATTTAAAGGGCCAGAAGGTTGAGAACCACTGACCTAGAATATTAGCCTTCTCAGCAAAGACCTAGAAAATAATTCCTAAAGGCTGAAGCTTTGTTCTATATCACATATTTTACTTCCATCAATCTAGAGTTGGTTTTTCACTGTATTGACCTGTCAATAATTCATTCATAAATCAATTTATAGTCTATCTTTTAAATATTACTGTGAGCACTAATATTATGTTTCAACATGTTTTTTTAATATTTACAATTTTTTTGCATGGATACTAATGTATAGAACTGTTATGTTATCTAGATATAATTCATATTTTGGAATCTAGTTGTCCTCTGAAGTTTGAGTTTTATTACAAAATCATTTTGATATTGTGGTTGATAAGTACAAGAATAATTGGTGACAATGTATAGATTTCAGGGGTTTTACCAAGTCAGAAGTCACTTTCTTCTACCTCAGGGCTCTATGATCATAGTCAACCTTCCTCAGAGTTCAGCACAGATGCAAAGAGGGATTCATAATTCTAATTTGATTGACTAGGCTTTCCCCACCACTTGGCCCTTTACTGCATTCAATGCACTAAGGAGACCCAGTCTTGACTGTCCTCCAACTCAGTGCAAGACCTGAACCTTGCTGACAGTCCTCCAGGAAATCACAGTGTGCTAAAAAGTAGCAGTCATTCTCATACATTCAGCGTTTGTGATGGTCCTGCTTTTGCTGTCCATACTCCCCAGAGATAGGGGGATTTTTACAAAATGAATTTAAAATAAAATAACCAGATATAACTTTAAATGGCCTGGCTTGATGTCACATAGACATCTGAGATTATAAATAGTAGTTTGGACCTCAGTGTAGGTAAAGTTTTCTTTTTCCAGGAAACAAATTTATTTTAAATTAAGGCCTAAAACCAAAGTATTTTATTATACTACATACTATTATTACCAATATTATTATTATTGATTTCAGAGAGGAAAAGAGAGGGAGAGAGAGATAGAAACATCAATGAGAGAGAATCACTGATCAGTTACCTACCTCCTGCATTCCCCTTACTGGGGATCGAGCCCACAACCTAGGCATGTGCCCTGGCTGGGAATCAAATGTGTCCTCTTGGTTCATAGGTCGAGCCATACTAGCCAGGCTATCATTATTATTTTTAAATGTTTGACAAGCTAAAATAGATTTGAACTATATTACTCTCCCCAAGCGATTCAAGAGCTTAGATTGATTCTGAGTGGCATTCTGATAAAAATAATTACCTTTGAAAAGCATTTGCAGTGACACATTCATCATAGAAGCCATTCAAAGCCCTTTTAAAAACACCAAGTCACATACTTTCACATGAGGTAAATGAATAGCCAATATTATGATTCCCACTCTATCCAAAGAGACAACCATGTTCTCAAATGATGCTGCCTCACTTTGGGACATCCTGTCTCCACACAATACTTCTTTCTGCAGACTTCTTTAAGTCATTCTGTGATTAAGAAGGTCTAAGATGCTTTCATACTTTTCATATTAGAGACTTGAAGAGAGGTAACTGGTTTCCAAACATCCCAGGTATTCACTTTTAATTCAGTTCTCTAATCATGATAAAGTTGGTGGCTTCCCCGCCACTTCCAAATTCCAAGGCAGAATGGAAACCTTGCTTGCAGTTTTACTGACATACACTCAACTGGCCTCTTTCTGCCTCCCATCAATGACAGGGAGCTCATCACCTTATCAGACTGCTTGCCCCATTTCTATGATGTTCTAACTGTTAGAAAGAGCTTCAATATGGCCAGTCAAATCTACCTTTCAGATTTCATTTGTTTTACCTTCTAGAAAAACAAAGAACAAGCGAGTTCTTCATATATTTGAAAGCATCTGCCATTTCTCTACTTCTCTATCCAAGCAAACCTTCTTAAGAGAATTCAACAATAACTTAGAGGGATGGTTTCCAGATCCTCAGTAATGTACTTATCCTTCTGATTGGGATACTAAGCGTCAGGGTCTCTCTTAAAATATGTTATCCAATTGAAACCAGTCTTTAAGGTACCGTCTAAGAAAAAAGAGCATAGAGAGACTATAACTTTCCCTGGCAGAAACACTCCAAGACCCAGGATGCTAAAGCAATGTGACTGATTTCTTTTTTCTTTGTTGTCTTTTTTTAAATGTTAAGTTATAAAACTCAGAAATGTCTGCTGCCCTGTCTCTATAGCATCTGGGCATAATTATGCCATACAAGTCAATATTGCTAGCATATGGGAGAAAACTTGGCACAGCATTGGTTTTGCATCACTTTGCTTCCTCTCTCTTCCCACTCAGGTTCAGAGGAGCAGAAACTAGGAGGAACCCCGTGTCTTTCATCTCTTCACCAGCATCACACTGGCTTTGGAAGCCCAGTCCTATGAAATAGGACAGGCAGTCAGAGACGTTTGGTCTGGTACGTTGCTGGAGGACTTCTCTTTGGTTCATCATTTTCGTCCATTGACTAGCACAGTGGTTGGCAAACCACAGGTTGCAAGCCACATGTGGCTCTTTGGCCCCTTGAGTGTGGCTCTTCCACAAAATACCACGTGCGGGCGCACACATACAGTGCTATTGAAACTTCGTGGCCCATGCGCAGAAGTCGGTTTTCAGAAAGGAGATAGATGAAACAAGTATACAAGATGAGTGTGGATGGGAGAGTTGGAAGGGGTCGACCTCAGCGAACGTACCTCAATCAGATTGAGGACGTTTTTAGCAAAGGCCAGCTTAGGAGTACCCTAATTAAGTTAATAACAATGTACCTACCTATATAGTTTAAGTTTAAAAAATTTGGTTCTCAAAAGAAACTTTAATCATTGTACTGTTGATATTTGGCTCTGTTGATTAATGAGTTTGCTGACCACTGGACTAGCAGAATATCCAAGACCTTTTCGATGAGGTTCTGTCGAAAGCAAAATCTCAGCACATTTGAGCGTTGTTGAAATTTCAAGGATTCATCTCCTTGCCCGAGTTGCCTTGCAATACAAGATATTATTGGAGCATCATTTTCTTTATTTTAAATAATCTCTTATTTATTTATAAAATTGCTTATAGTGCTTAAAATAAAAACAGTTTGGAGATATGACTTTAGCACTTATCTCTAAAGGACTTTAAGAGTATAACCTTCATTTTAACTCTATGTTTCTACTGCACTTTTTAAAAATCCAATTTTAGGACTAACTGATTCTACTTTTGAGTATGTTTGCTATCCTAAAATGTATATGTCAGTACAAGTAGTCCCTTGCTGATTTAGTAAAACCCTGATGTTTGAACGAAAGAGAGAATACCAAAAATCATTCCTGGACTTAATATAGGCCAAAGGAGGAATTATGTGCCAGTGACCGGCAGCTCTGTCCTCAACAGCCCCATTCCAAAACAGGACATGATATATGGTAGCCTTGGGCTACCAACCATATCTTGTAGAAATAGATACTCTGTACAGAGTAGGTATTGAGTAATATTTAGGATTACAGAGGTGAAAGGAACCTTTGCTATCACCTAATTCAATATCTTTTTAATTTATTTTTATTTTGAAATTTTTCTTTAAATTGTGGTCCAGCTGCTACATGAGCATTACCAAAAGTAAGATAATATCCTGAAGTTTTTAATAAATAATGGCTAGGGGCCAGCTAGTGTGGTTCAGTGGTTGAACACTGATCCATGAACCTTGAGGTCACTGGTTCGATTCCTGGTCAAGGCACATGCCGGGGTTGCAGGCTCAGTCCCCATTAGGGGGTGTGCAGGAGGCAGATGATGAATGTTTCTATCTCTCTAACCCTCTCCTTCCTTCCTCTCTAAAAAACAAATAAAAAACATATTTAATAAATAAACACATAAATAATGGATAGGAAGAAAGGAATGTTCTTGGGAATGCTTCTAAAATTACTGAGATTATTTCTAGGTAATTTTTCAGATTTTCTACTTGCCTTTTCAGGCTCATTTAATTGGGATGCAAAATCCCCAGGATAAAACATATTTATTCTGCAACCACAGATATCAAAGTATGTACCCATCAAAGTTCAGTGCTTTGCTTCCCAGAATCCCAGATCCACATCTCAGCTTGCTCCCCATTCGTTAGAAGCCTCCACCCATTCCTTCCACTACACACCTACATCCGAACTCAGACTTCTAAAGCAGAAAAGCTAACTTCCTGGTACTCCAAAGCAAGCCCCAGCAAGACACCTCTCTGCTCAACCCTTAAAATTCTCTAACAAGCAAATGGTTTCAAGGAACAGAGGGAGCCACTCCCCAATCAATGAGTTGCCTCCTGTACCATTTAGACTTCCCCCTGTTTTCAAGGGATAAGCCTGCTTTCTGCAATAAGGACCATCAGAGATGAGGCAGTGTGTGCTTTCCCGGCCATAAATCACAGGTATAAAGACAACACCACGTAAAAATATGCGTGGGCTCGCATACAGTGAGCCTGAAGATACCAGAGACCTGGCTGAGTAACAAGAGGAGCAGTTTAGGAGGGAAAATTCTTCAGAGGACTTTGACAAAAACCTCCTGAAGATGGATGTTTCAATGAACTCATCCTGTCATCTCCAATCACTTAGCCACTTTACATTTTGATTAGTTTCCCCTCACACCAGTGCTGTGTGAGGCAGATGGAGAAACTGAGTGGTCAGGACTGCCTGTGAAACACATTCCGAATCAGCAGTAACTAAAATCATGACAAGGTTATTCTGAGGTGGACATCATTTCTGAATCCCACACTGGGCTCCTCAAAGCCCAGCCACATGGGCTCATTTCGAGGTATCTCTGCAAAAGCTATTGCCACCCACCATCTGCTCATGTAGCTACGACATCCATCTTAAGCCCCTCAGGATCAGCATAGATCTGGAAATCCTCCTAAAGATAAACTCGGAATTCTAGATCTGACGGCCAAAGGAAGAAAAAAGAGGGAATGAATCAAATTCCAAGAACGGAATTTTAAAAAATGGCTTGCACACCCTCAAGGCAGAGGCAAGGAGCAATCTTTGCGCATTGATAGCCCATGACTCAGCCTTTTATCGCTCGGCGTTCGCAATTGGCAAATCCCTGTGGGATGGACTGTGCTTCTGTTCCAAAGGGATGCCCTCCCAGGGAGGAGGCTCCTGGGAGAGGAGGGTGGTGAGCCCTGTCTCTGCCCTGCTACATGCCATAGCTGCCTTTTCATGACCATCACTTTCCACTTCGTGGCTCTAAGCTGAATCTCTCCTTTCTTTTTTTTCCAAAGGAAGCCCTTGAGACTCATGTTGGTATCAACAGGAAACCTGGGGGAAAAAAGGAAAATCCAAGAGGAAACCAAAATACACACGACAAAGAATAGGAATTTGTGGTACATTACTTTTGGAAAAGAAAACTAAACTTTGGGTGAGTTCGTTGGATTGTACAGGAGGTGGGGTGCAGGCCAGGGTGTGGAGTAGGATGAGTTAGGGAAGGGAGGAGGGATCTTTACATAGGAATCAGAGGTGACCTCATATACTATTTTATGTGGCTTTTAAAAGAGCTTTTGGCAAAACCCAACATATTTCATAATTACCTTATTCTCACGAAAGGTTATTAAGTGACATGACTATACTGAAGGGTCATGCATAATTGGGATTCAGTGTGGCACTCATGCCCAGGCATCTTGTCTCCAGGGTCTAGTCCTGCCTTGATACAGAGGTCATGGACATAAAGCCAGCAGCAGCTTCCGTGTCTGAGGATAGTATACATCCCCGCAGAGTGCTCCATCTACTCCTCATATGTACAAATATGAAAAAGTGAGGAATGCTATTCTACAGCAAAATGCCTCAGTCATGTAAGTAAGAGAAATACCGAGTGGGTCTTCTTTGACTCTTTGCTCAATCTTATACAAGCCAAAAAGTGTTTACTAAAGGAAAGGTGCCACTCAGGATAGTCTTCCTTTCCCGATCTGCCCCAGTGTTAGGTTCAACAACAACAACCACATCAGCCTAGAGAGAGAGCATGGGCCAACAGTAGACATGATGCCCAGAATTCCACTGAAGAAGATGAGGGGATCATGTCTCCCAGGCCTGTAGTCAATTATTTGTAGGGTGTAATTATTTGTTAGGAGTGACTCCTAAGACCAATATATGAAATAAATGGGTAAAAATTATAATGAATATTTAAATTAATTTTTTCCTACAATTGTTCTATCGTAACACATTTACAAATTGTAATTTGTGTCTATGGCTACCTTAAAGAAATTAAACAGATGGTTATATATACACTTAAATGAGAATTATCCTTATTTAGTACCAAGAAAATCATGCATGTTACATTTCTAAAGTTTATCCTATCTAATAAAATAGTAATATGCAAATTGACCATCACTCCAACACAAGATGGCCACCACAAGATGGCCAGCAGGGGAGGGCAGTTGTGGGCGATCAGGCCAGCAGGGGAGGGCAGTTGGGAGCAACCAGGCCTGAAAGGGAGGGAAGTCTGAGACAATCAGGCAAGCGGGGGGGGGGGGATGGCAGAGGAGGGCAGTTGGGGGTGGGGACCCAGGCATGCAGGGGAGAGCAACTAGGGGGCACCAGCCCTGCAGGGGAGGGCAGTTATGGGGGGACCAGGCCTGCAGGGGAGGGCAGTTGGAGGTGACCAGACCAGCAGGGGAGGGCAGTTGGGAGCAACCAGGCTGGCAGGGGAGTAGTTAGGCATCCATCAGGCTGGCAGGGGAGTGGTTGGGGATGATCAGGCCAGCAGGCAGAAGCAGTTAGGGGCAATCAGGCAGGCAGGCAGGCAAATGGTTGGGAGCCAGCAGTTCTGGATTGTGAGAGGGATCCCAGATTGGAGAGGGTGCAGGCCGGGCTGAGGGACCCCCTCCCCCCCCATGCACAAATTTCGTGCACCAGGGCGTCTAGTTTAATTGAGGGCCTGGTGCACGAAATTCATGCATGGAGGGGTGTCCCTCAGCCCGGCCTGCACCCTCTCACAATCCAGGACCACTGGCTCCTAACTGCTTCCCTGCCTTCCTGATCACACCTAACCACTATGCCTGCCTGCCTCATCACCCCTAACCACTTTGCATTCCTGCCTCATCACCCCTAACCACTCTGTATGCCTGCCTCATTGCCCCTAACCACTCACCTGCCTGCCTAATCACCCCTAACTGCTTGCCTGCCTGTCTGATCACCCCTAAACCACCTCTGCCTCGGCCTCCGCCACCGCGGCTTTGTCCGGAAGGACATTGGAATGACGTCCAAAAGGTTGTTAGGCTGTTCAGTCTAATTAGCATGTTATGCTTTTATTATTATAGATAATAATATGCATATTGTATTCAGAAAACCTCTATAAGGAAAGGAAATATTTTCATTGTTACTTAAAGCTGGATATGAGATACTCAGGAATTGAGCTAGGGATTAAAAAGACTTTGGACACATGGACCATAGCTCTAGCATCTTACTTCCACATATGATAAAAAGTCTTACAGAGAGAGAGGCCTAACTTACATAATTGGGAAGAAAATCAAACAAAGAGCAACTATTAGAACCAAACTCAATACTTCCATCAAGAAATCCATGATCTAAAAAGCTACTTCAAAAGCAAAGCTACTTAGTGGTAGAATAAGATTTAATATGGATTTATTTGTGAAGGTTTTAAGCATCGTACTCACTATATTTAGCATCCTCAATGATTACTCAGTTTCTAAAGTGCTTTGAGGTTATGAGATCACTAGTGAAGCTATCAGTTTCATTTCAAATAAATTCAACTAAATATTTCTTTCTTCACAGTGTTTCCAGCCCATAGAAATCATTAGCAGAGGATGTGGTTGAGAAAGAGAAAAAACACACACACCAAAACATGAAATAGCACTTCTGTTGGATTTTTTTACAGGTGGTAAACATGATCCTAATATTTGTAACCTTACAAGGTTAGAAAGATGGTGATGAGAACTGAGAGCACCAACTAATTTGCTAAAGATGGGTACATAAAGAGTTGACATATCTCCCATCTTATAATAAGGAGTTACTTCTGATTTCCCAGAAATATCATTATTAATAAACTATAAAATCACAGTTCCAGTCCCAGGTTCGATTCTGGTCAAGGGCATGTACCTTGGTTGTGGGCACATCCCCAGTAGGGGGTGTGCAGGAGGCAGCTGATAGATGTTTCTTTCTCATCGATGTTTCTGGCTCTCTATCCCTCTCCCTTCCTCTCTGTAAAAAATCAATAAAAATATATTTTTTAAAAATCACAGTTCCAAACTTTGGGAAAAGGTAAGCACTCTAAGGCTTTTCTTCCTATTGTCTTGAAATTGAAAACAAGATTTAGCAATTTAAAATAACTTGCTCACTATCATACAGAACTTCAGTAGCTGAGGTTAGGCCAGGTTTGCCTGGCTCCAAAATCTTAGATTTTTTCACATATACCATTCTTCCTCCTGAGACTTTGGAGCAAGGGGAGTGTATTATATTCTGCAACAGACTTGTATATTAGTGAGCTATTCATAAAAGGATATTACTAAATTCATATTTATATTAAGTGAATATTCTATACAGAAAATATCCATAAGTCCAAAGTGAAGTAAAGAAAACAGAGATAATGTTAAAGTTAGTCCTAATTTCTTCATTAATCCATTGGAGATATAAAATTTATAAACTCCTTAAGCCTTAAAGCCTACTAGCCTATGTTCTTTCTTGATATAATATATATTCTTTATTATATAACATAATTTACTTATATTTGTTACCTGTTCAATAAAGTAGTACTACCTTTAATCAAAATAAAATCTTTGCACTTCATGAGTGTCTCCTGGAATCATTAAATAGTGAACAAGAACATATCCCCCATCAACTCTCTTAATATTTTATAGGCATTGATTATCTTGTTTAGTTCTCCCATTAGGGTCAAATCTGTATTCATAGTGTTTTTTGCACATAGAAGACCCTCTTTCCAGCCTGGTCCTTACAGGTTCACTTCTCTCAACCTTTTCCTCCCCTTCTTAGATAGACAGTTCCCAGGGACCCTCTGGGGCTTTTGGACCAGTTCCTTTGTGCATCCCAAGGATGATTTCCAAGTTTAGTCCTATTGTGCGAACTTAAGGTGACCATTTTTTTTTAACCTCAAGTCATCCAGGAAGGGCCCACTAGGAATTCAAAACCTATACTTTCATTACATGACCCTGAGCATAACTGGTTCTATTTCTATCAATGTCCCTGCAAATAGCTTCCAGACTTTATCAGGGATGGGTTCCTTCCTGTCCTATTTAACTACATCAGGGCATGTGAGTTAAGAAAGATGCACAGATGCTGTATAGAGATGCTGAGAGGCATGATCTCAACACTCAGATAATCTGAAGGTGTTTCTCAGGTCTGAGGTTTAAGATAGATCACTGAACTTTTCACCTTCGTGTTGAAGCATCAGAGGTGCCGGCAAACCTTTGTTCATCGCACCACCACAATTACTGGGCCTGACTGAAGAAGGTGTTACACAACCCCATTAATCTGGCTAAGGCTCCCTACTCTGAGTCAGGCGAACATGAACTCCACTGTTCACACAAAATAGCAAAAGTAGGCACTAAGAAGGCAGTTTAAAGGAGGCAAAAAGCAGGCTGAATATAAAGAAACTTGATTAGGTATAAATGGACATTGCTCTGTAAACAGCACTGCAAAAAGATATTTTATTTCTTCGTTAGTCTTCCATAAAACTGGGCAGGTCTTTCTTTGACTAATAATATACTTTTAAAGACATTTTGTTACAGAAGTGTGAGATAATGTATGTAAACTGCCTTGAAGACTAAAGTGATCAATGATTATAGCTAGTATGATACCATGCTTATGTATTATCATGATATAAAATACCGACATTTAAAGCAGCACCGAAGAAAGAGAGGGCTGTATGTAGTCCAGGAGGAAGGACACTGGGTTCCAGTCCTGGCCTTGCCAGTAACGGTCTGGCAGGTCTGAACAAGCCACTTACTTCTTGGTGCCAACGTCTCTGTATATTGAAACATTAACATTGCGCTTAATGTTTTCAGTCACCCCCAAAGGGCTGACCAGCTCTAAAATGCATGATTCTAAAATAAAGCATGAGGTAGACTTGCCAAAATATATTTCAAATCTATATTGATGAAATTCTGACACTCGTGAAATATGCAAACTACTCAAAGAACTAGAACAAACAATAATGAAATTGTAGGAATTGCTTCACCATTTGTCAAATGTCTTCTCTAATCGCAGGAATCTGCTCAAAATCCTGCCTTCTGCTTTCAGACAAAGTCTCAGTCACCTTATAATTTCTTAAAGCTTGCCATACCTTGGTTCTGCTAAATACTTCAAAATAGTATAATTTTAGAAGAGATTTAGAAGAACTTGATCATTTCCCATGTTCTCTTAGGACTTCCTGTTTCGTCTATATCCTTTAACATGGCCTTTGTAATAATTTTATTCCCCTCTCCCAAGAATGAGTAGCTTGAAGAGAGAAGGCAGCCCTAAGTCCTGGTCTTGTTTAGAAACTTAGCATCTCTTCAATTATGTCAGCATAGCACCCTCTACTGCTTCAGGGAGAAAGATTAGCAATTACTAAACACTGCAACATAACCAAGAGATGTCACTCTGCCCAACTATACAACAGGTAGTAATTTCCCTCATTTGTCACTGCGATGGCATTCATTGTTTACAAAAGAGCATAGTTATGGCAGAGAAAGAGTTTTCTTTCATACTTGCATCTGTTCTGTTTCAGTTGTCTGTTTTATCCTTCCATGATCTGTGATTCCAAATTAAGAGTTTTTTTATGATTTCTGTATCTCAAGACAAAACAACTACAGGTACTCTTTGGACTAACTGGGTAATATGCACAAATACATCTGCCTTAAGTCGCAAGCAAGAACTCACAGAGGAGGTTATGCTCTCAGCATGGAAAACATCTGATATATTTAACAGAAAAACTTCTGCAGACCATAAGAAAAGGCTTCTTCCTTGGCTTTATTTACATTATACCTGCATTCTGATTGTGATCCCA